GGCCACGGCCCGAGTGCAAACAAGATATTCAGGCATTCCTTGGATTTACCAACTTCTACCGAAGGTTCATCCGAGATTATGGCAAAATAGCAAAACCACTCAGTTCACTAACAGGCAATGCTACTTTCGAATGGACCATCAAACAAGAAGTAGCCTTCACAAGCCTGAAGGACGCTCTCTGCACAGTGCCAGTACTAGCCATACCCAATGACGACGATCCATACCGAGTAGAATGCGATGCCTTGGACTTTGCCGTAGGAGCAGAATTAGCCCAGAGACAAGATGGCAAATGGAAGCCTATTGCTTACCTGTCTAAAGCCATGACAGCTGCCGAAAGAAATTACGAGATTTACGACAAGGAACTTCTCGCGATCATGACTAGTCTTGATAAGTGGCGTCAGTACCTCATGGGCGCCATATATCCGTTTGAAATATGGACGGATCATAAGAATCTAGAATACTTCCGAAAGCTGCAGAAGCTCAACCGGCAGCAGGCCTGATGGGTAACCGAGTTAGCCAAATATCAGTACTCGTTGCATCACAAGCCTGGTAAATCTAACGGCAAAGCGGATGGACTATCTCGCCAAAAAAGGCACAATGCAGGAAAAGAAGACAATTCAGATATCGTGTTATTAAAGCCAGAACATTTTCGTGCCCTGATTCATAGTACCGTATTTAGTTTAGAAGGAATTGACCAGGACTGGGTTGCGGGAATTAAAAAATATAAAAGGAACCAAGATTCGCTAGTTACCGTAGCTCTACAGAACAAGGACAAAGATTGGAATGAAGATAGTACCGGACTCGTGACATGGAGGAACCGTATTTACGTACCATTAAATAGAAAACTCCGTGAGCAGATCATTGCTCATCACCATGATACCCCATTAGCTGGACACCCTGGCCAATACAAGACGCATGAAATGGTCACGCGTAACTACTGGTGGCCCCGAATTCAAGAAGATATCAGGAAGTACGTGGCCGGATGCGAGAAATGCCAGAAAACCAAGGTCCACACGACACGACCTACTGGACTTCTATTCCCAAACGAAATCCCTTCGCGACCCTGGGAAGTAATCTCTGTGGACAAGATAGGCGTATTACCAGACTCATTCGGGTACAATGCCATCCTCGTAATCGTCTTAAATGTACTCTAAGCAGATAATCACGATATCAAGTACCATTGAGCTCAACACCGAAGAATGGGCAAAGGCACTTCGAGATAACGTAGTCGCACATCATGGATTACCCTGAAAGATCATCAGTGATAGAGGAACTGAATTCAAGAATCAGTTTATCTCCGAGTTATACCGATCCCTCGGAATCGAAGCCAATCCCTCAACTGCGTATCATCCTCAGACAGACGAACAAACGGAACGCATCAATCGCGAGATAGAACAATATCTCTGATTATCCATCAACTACCGACAAGCAGATTGGGCCAAATGGTTGCCACCCGCGGCCTTTTCATACAATAATAAAGTCCATTTGTCCACCGGGTATACTCCATTCTTCGTCAATAAAGGGTATCACCCTTATGAAGGAACCCAATCAGTGCGAGAAGGACTAAGTGAAAACGTCCAACAGTTTGTCGATAGAATGGATCGAGTACGTGAGGACACTAGTGCGGCTATCAGTCTAGCGCAGGAAACCATGAAGTGCTTCTACGACAGAAAGAGGAAGAGCAGACCAGAGTACAAAGTGGGGGATAAAGTTTGGCTAGAAGGAATAAACATCCGAACAGACAGGCCAATGAAAAAGCTCAACAATAAGCGATATGGACCCTTCAAGGTCAAGCGCAAAGTCGGTGCTTCCGCCTATGAGTTGGAACTCCCACGTCAATGGAAACAACACCCCGTTTTCAATGAAAGCCTCCTTAGCCCCTTCAAAGAACCCACGTATCCCTCACAGCGACGAGAACCAATAGTCTCTGACCTCGTAAATGGCGAGAAAGAATGGAAAGTCGAAGATATCCTTGACTCCCGTCATGATTGAAACGGAAACCTGGAGTATCAGGTGCTCTGGAAGAACAGCCCCCACAGCGATCGCTGCTCCTGGAAATCACAGGCGAACTTGACCAATTGTCAGGAACTCCTTCAGGAATTCCATGCTAGACGTCCTGACAAACCCGCGCCCATGACGATTCGAATCCCCCCTCTATTAACACGACCTGTTCACATAGTCACACGTGATACCACTCTTTTGGTACAACGGATGGGTGGGATTCTCCCGAAGCAAAGATCTGAAGAATCAGCTGGGTTTGATCTTTACTCGGCTGAAAGCGTTAAGATACTGGCACGAGATCGCAAGATTGTCGGCACCGGCATAGCAATGTGTGCCCCTCACAGAACCTATGCGCGAATTGCGCCAAGAAGTGGGTTAGCAGTCAAAGGGATAGATATCGGTGCTGGAGTTGTAGACCGAGATTACACCGGAGAAGTGCGCATAGTGTTGATAAATTCCACCAATCAACCCTTCCAGGTACGCGCCGGCGATCGGATCACACAAGTCATTTTAGAACGCATTGCGTCATGCGATATCGAGGAGGTGTCGAGTTTAACAAAAACTCGACAAGGATCGGGAGGCTTTGGATCGATTGGTAAGTAATTATGAGGACACAATTCTAGATGGGGGGGGGGTAATGTCATGAATATTACATACTCTGGATGGGGCTCCCAGATTCCATAGTATTCTTTCACTTTCTATATACCTCCGTATACTCATAGGATATTCTAGATATTCAGTCTGACATGTATATAAGGAGCTCGTACTGCTCAATAACAAGCCAGACTTGAGCTGGTCTTTACTCACCCACTTTCCTCTCGTCTGTCTCCTCAGCCTTGTCGTAGCCCAGTCCAGTTGGATTGTAGGTTGCTGACAATTCATTAGCATTACGCCATTTGAATCACTCATATAACATCCGCAGTCGCTCGTATAATAGCCTCATGACATGACAAGCAAGGACAGATATTGCACAGGATAGTCTACGCACTAAACAAATCCGATGTTGAACTCTTCATTCGGGGTGATTTTCCTCCAGCGTGATGGCGATCTGCATCGTATTGTACGTCATGCGATACCTCGGGTAGACATTGTGTTCGAGGTATCAGGCTCGTGCACGGTGAGGTCTACTATTTGCCATCTTTCATGAATAGGTCGGGATTGAAGCACACGGGGTCTGAGTATACCGTGAATAGGCTTGGTCATTTGTCCAAGATCACTCCCTAGCGAAGCGCGAGTCAGTTGAGGCGCTGGGCATGAAGGAAGAAGAGAGGTGCATCGGAAATGGTCCAACCCAAGAGAGCCTTCTGAGATGTAGCATCTACAATGGACGTCATCGGCCTTCGAGCAATGTGGAGTATTTGCGTGCCATTATGAAGACAGCGACACGTCATGAAAACACCATACACTGAGATCCATCTCAGCGGCTCCTTCACGGTAGCATCAACCTGTCTGGCACATAAATACAAGCACGTGAATACACCGATAGGTCGCAAGCTATAACGTAGAATCGCAATACTCGGTGCTCTACTCATTCCGACATACATACGACTTCCACTGCTAACACCCTTAAAAATTATCCACAAATCCCGCCTTGCCGGCTTCGAACAGGGACCGGTCCTCGAATGAGAGTTGCGTCATCGACTTGCGCTTGAAGACGTACACTGGCCTCACCATTGTGAGCTCTGCATCAGGATGAAGCCAGTAGTCAACATCGGGCATGATGGTGTCAAGCTCATGCCTTTCCAGAAACCCCCCTCAAAACTTTGTGCGTACCACAAGACAATTCGGAGCAAGTACTCACTTGGTATATAGGTGCTCTTCAATATCTAGGCAGTTCTCCCACCCGACGTGGCAGTGGCTGCAGAAGTACCATATCGCGTCAGGATGAGTCTTGAACGAGCGGTTAAAGTAGACTTTGGATGCCAGCGACTTGATCGCCTTGATTGAAGAGACAATCTCTCCAGACATGACCTCCCAGTGCGCGTGCATGAGCTTGCGCGAGGCCGGCAGCGCGGCGTAGTCGACCGGCTTCACAAGGTCATTCACAAGGTCGTGATAGACGTAGTGGTAGAGCTGTGGCTGTATGTCAGCAACGTTCGAGAAGCCATCTGTGATGTGTGCGTACCGCATCCCACCACTTCATGACCTGCCATTGCTCCTCCTCATAGCCGTCCTCGAGACAGGTCTTGCACCAGAACCGCACCTCGAGCGCGTCCATCTCCTCGCGCGTCGTCGTCATAGGATTCTTGCCTACTGCACGTATAACTTCGCATGCGCGGCGGTGCCATACACCGATGCGCAGGCTTTTTGCGCTCCACGACCTGTATCCCACGATCGTCACGCCGGGCGGGTACAGAGTGGCCGCGCAGATCACGCGCTCGACAGGGTCTTTGCCGTTCCACATGCTGCAGGGGCCCGTGAGACAGCCGTGCGCGATCATGTGGGGTGGCAGTGGCGGGAGCAGGTTGTCGTTTTCTGCGTAGCTCTGGCAGGATTTGCAGTCGAACGCGACGCTTGCGAGTGAGAGCGGGTCGACGTTTGCGGAAAGCTTGTCCTTGTACTCCAGCGAGCCGAGCACAATCGCATGGAGCTGTGCCTCGCATTCTTCGCGCCATCTCTGCGTCCAGTCTGGAAGGAGCTCACGGAAGGGATCGAAGGCTTCCCTGTCGACTTTGACCTCACTAGGCTGAACGACAATAGCGACAATTTCTGGGCGCCGTAGCAACTCTCCCGGGAGCGGAAGTGTCGCTTTGCCTGGCTGTTGAGAGAATCATTCGCGGTACAGTTCCACAAAAAGCCTATATCGTCTCGTGATGACATCATGTTGTTCAAAAGCAAGGCGCAGCTGTCTGATGTGTTCCATATGCTTCTCTATTCGGGGTTGAATGTTCGTCCAAGCTGCATGTTCTACATCTTTAGTGGCCAGCAAACTGACATCTTACAGTAGACACTCACTTCATTCGGTCAACTCTTGAGGCTTTTGCACGTCCGCATGCCTCCGGAGCGACTCGTATCTGGGTTTCATCTGATCAAGCTCTTCGCCCCAGCCAAGCTCTCTCAGCTTTTCAACAATTCTACCGGGCAGAGAGAATTAACCTTGCGCAGGCAAGCTACTCGAAAGCGCATACATTTTTAGTCTTCGCGTTCTAGTATCCTCTGACTCTTGAGCATGGTCCTCAGCACAACGATACTGCCAGCTTTCGCAGCGTGCGGCGAACTGGGGAGTCACCAGATGAGAAACGCATAATGCGCAGGGAAATGCACTAGGAAAAAAAGTCTGAGACCAGAAGCGCCCCGTGAGCTCTGTAGTTCCAGCAGCCCGGTGGAACTGACCCCTATTACCCTGCAACCAGTAGTCTCCCGCCATGTCTCTGTAGCACCCGTGGCAGCCTGCATAAGTTTGGCAACACACTGTGGCAGCCTGCAAACATTCAGCAGCACACCGTGGCACTGTCGCAGCCTGCCTGTAGATACCAGCAGATGGCGTCCCGGGCTTTGCACACTCACTCACAGGGAATAGATTGACAGAAGAAATATATTAGGCACACAACTGTACAGTACATGTTGGTGTATACTACACTAGAGTCATTCTGCTGTGGTAGGGGATAGACACAAGAGGTAAATCTATAATGTATAGAGTCAGAATAGTACTATATGATCTGCGGGGGCATTACTCACCTAAGTCTTAAAACCGCTAGGCATCCAGCGCAGGAAACAGCGCAGGACATGCAGCTGGTAATCTCGGATGCGCAACCCGTTAACCGCCCTTCTTGCGATACCCGTGCAGCAGCGACAGGCTCGCTATGAGGCACGTCGCGGGTGGCTCACAATATGCCCCACGTAGCTGCAGGCGCTTGTGGTTGTGCTTGTGCTGGAGATTTCGAGGGTGCGTTCGAGCGCAACGCGCACCCGGTGCTCGCGTGAAAGCTAGACAGGACCACTGCAGAGGTGTGTAAGTGTAAGAACATGGCATACCCCGAAATGCACGACATGGGGTGGAGGTGTATGGCAGTGGGAGGTGGATTTAGCGGATCTTCCATTGCCTGATGCGAGCCCAACTTATCAATATCAAGATTATATGACATAATGAACTCACCGATCACCGCTGCCTGTAATCTGTGAGACACCGCATCCTCCATTGAGAAAAGGAAGATAGCGGTGAAGGGCTGCGCCGCCCTCAACAGCTGCGGGTATCCTAGCAGCAACGCAGTCATCGCACCCTTAACTCTTGTGGCCTGTAGTGCTTGTCGTATCATTCATAGGCTTCTTGGTTGCGCGCAAAACACTGTTTCGCTACTCTGGGGCTTGTGCGCCTGCTCCGCACATGACAATGCGACCTCACTGCTCATGAGAAGGGTATGGTATATGTCAGAAGAACATAACTTACGCAAGGACATGTATGGCGTCGACGCATTGCCCGTTGACTGACACTGCCGACATAGGCTGACGCAGCGCGGTGGCGACGTGGAACAAGGAGGGGTGTTCGGGCGCTTGTTACCATCGGCCGTGCCATCATTCGTTAATTTAGGGCAGACATTCCCATACTTGAGCAAGTGAAGAGTATACCACCTTCGGACAGTACTTCAAGCTTCAAGTGTCATAATCAAAATTTTGTATTACTATACTATTACACAGATGCCCTCAAAGTAAGAAACGATTTTCTTATCCCTGTCTTACTTGCTCCAGGGGCCCCCCTCTCCCATCCCTCGCCTTATATACCTTTCGACGGCCCCTATTTCGTCATTCTCCTTGATTGGGCCCAATCGTTGCTTCCGCTCTCCTTTGCTTACGCCGCGCGCAGCACGGCTATGCTGCAGCCCTGAAATCAAAACAGCAAGTGAAATCGAAAATTTTGAGCTTAAATTTCCCGCCCGCAGAACCACATCTACGAGGACAGCAGTCGCGGAGCACAGCGAAGCGGCCTCTTGTACTATTTAGTTTCATTCACTAATGTTGTAAGCATATGTTTTACATACAAATCTAGTCTATGGCGCGAGAAATTAGCCAGAGTTAGGTGGTGCATATGAGCAGCTGCTAAGTGCTACCAGGCTCTCCTGAGCCTCGCGCATGCACTAAGCGGCAAGCGCAAACGCGGTGGCTGGTGGTAGTAGATGCCCCTGCTACGCAGCAAGATGCTGTTTCCTGATGTGATTTGGTTCACTTACCTCAACCTTTTCCATCACGAGCTCCTTGCGCTTAGCAACCTCCTCCTTGCTCCATCTCTCGTAGCTCCCCTCGTAGTCCTCCACCTCAGGAAGGTGGTGATAGTGTGCATGGCCGGTACAGTCTAAAAGAATTAGCGCTAGAATCAACCGGAGACATCTATCCGACGGCAGCTTACCGTGTGCGTATGTTACTGATTGGGCAGCACTTTTGTATCCAAACGAGCAGCTGAACGGATCTGTGCACTTGACAAGTTTGAAATAGAGTACAGCCGTTCTGTTTTCCAAAAATTTAAACCCGAACATCGAATAGACATACATAGTATTCCTACACACAGGACAATATCGAGTACCAAACACCCAGTACACCATCTTCGTACCGGCCTTTCCACATTTCTGGATGTCCCTGAGAGTATGTCAACGGGAGAACAGGGAAAGACACACATAACAGTGGTTATCGAACGCTAAGTCCGCGTAGGCCGGCTCAGTCATCCATGCCAGACAGTCAGGCAAGCCTTCCACTTGTTGCAACGCTGTCTGCCAGAGGCACACGACTGACCGATAGAGGAGAAACTTGCGGAAAGTCTTGTTCGTCCGTGCAAGATGCAGCAAGTCTATCGGCATGAGGCATTGTATTATCTACATCAGGAAACACTGTTTGGCGCCATAGTGGGGGCTTCACTCCAAAGCGTCCGAAGCTAGCGGCGCGCGGAGCTGCCCGCCGCGTAGCACAAGGAGTTGCGGTAGTGGCCTCGGAGTAGAGGCTCACCTTACGTTTTCATTATAGCCACAATTACTCATTTTCTAGTAATATAATGATTCCTGTAACCAACTAGCTAGTACTACAGTCGTTCAGAAAGCCCGCACACAAGAATGAGACACTACTTTGCGCGGGCGCTTGGAGCGATGCACAACTGTCCAAGTCTGTCAATGCTGGCCCTAAACTGATGGCGCTATCAGTTCGTTTGCCACATTCTTCTCCCATCCTTAGCTCTGCCCTGTGATGACGAGCAGGTAATATGCTACGAGCAAAGTAAGTGTTCTGAGATTGAAGATGGGCTCCGTCACTAACTACTTTTGATGTGACGCACTGCGGCCATGCAGCTCTTCATTGTTGCCGCAACGCGGTCGAGCGGTCAAGCAGTCACGGCAGAAGCGGGAGGCTGTGCAGCACTGGGGCAGGGGTGGAGGAAGAGTGGCAGATAGCAGGTAGGCAGGCATGCGAAATGGGTAGGTAGTCGTCCAGTGGAGGCAGCGGTGGAGGTGCCAGGCTGGCGGGCAGGTTGGCAGGCGCCAGTGTTGTGCTAGTTAATGACTAGTCAATGACTAGTTAAATAGTCACTGACTTTACTGAATGACTTAACTAATGACTGTAACTGGGCGGTTCTCGGGTCCTGATCTCGGAAAATGCCGCCGTCCAATCGGAGTGCGCGGATATCTGCCTGAGTGCAAGTGGGACGTCTGAGAGGCAATGTTGCAAAACTTTCGAGGTAGTGACTATTTTATATACAACCTAAGTACAAGCGCGAAGTTCCTCACAGTCCTCTTCCCCTTCTGCATCCAAATCAAACAACCCATGAACCTCCATCTCTTCTTCTAGCCCGCGCAACCCCAGCTTGTCCATAGTGTCAGTCCAATATGTGTTCCTAAAATCGAATAAATCATCAAGGCGGCAATGTAATGGCTGCCCATGACACTGAGACATGACAGTGGAGAGATGTTCTGCCTGAATCTCACATTCTGCAGCCCGCGCCATTGCAAGAGCAATATCCTGCATGGACGGCGCATTGGGTGCGCGCTCATTGGGCTGCGTCTCTGATGAAGCTTGCCCTGTTGAGCCAATCGGGCTGGCCTTGGGCTGGCCAGTCATGGGGACTGTGATGGGGCCAGGTGAGCTAGCACCAGGCTGAAATACTAAGCTCGGGCCAGACGCAGAGGCAGTGCCGGAGAACGCAGAACCCGCTGCTAACGGTGTGACAGATGCAGCGATCGGTACATTTGCCAGGGGCACATGTACAGTTGGGGTAATAGTAGGTGGCGGTGCTGCTGCGCAGTCGATGAAGTGTCACTCGCGCCGCTGGAGGCGCGTTGCCAGAGCGCCACCAAACTCATATTCTTGCATAATGTGCAGACTGAGCTCTGTGGAGTTCATGAGATTTGTACTGGTGAGACGTGAGCGGGAGGGGGTCATAATTCACTTCAACAGGCTGAAGAAGCATTTGACGGGGGCAACGTTAGGGCAAACAGAGAAAATGCGTTCGGCAAGCCGCTGCAGAGGAGAGACCGGGCCACTGGCTGTCATGAAGAGCTTCCAGACTTCAAGAGGTGCAGCGGAATGCTGATAATGCGTGATTAGCATTTGTCAGAATTGAGACAAGCACACTCACGTCCGGATCATCAGGGTTTTGGAGTGACGCAGCAAGGTTTGGCATGTCTGCGTAGGTGCCGGTGTCTGAGATGTACTCCTTCACCTCATTGTAGAACGCGGGCGGGACAGTATCTGATGAAAACAGACGCTTCCAAATGCGGGCGAGTAGCGTTATGACGTCTGCGTGCCAGAAGCTCTTAAGTGGCGCTGCTCGAGTATGTGGATTAAGAATGACCGCTGCTACAAGGACGCCTTGATCACTGTCCAGCCATCGCTTATTGAGACTGTTGCATACAGCCCGGCAGATCTCTTCTTCATCGGCATCAGCGTCCTTGTCTTCAGCAAGATTAGTAAATCGAAGAAACAATGTGCCGAACACCAGGGCGACGTGATCGAGTCGACTCGATGTGGACTGGAGAATGTTGGCAGCTAGCGCAAGCGGCATGAGATGTACCTTGATGCTGCAGGTTACAAAGATTATTGCTACGCCATTGTTAGCAAAGCTCGATTGCGACGTACCGTGCGAGTTGGTGCCAAAAAATAGCCTTATCAATGATCGCAAGA